CCAGCAGGGGCGGACTGACCATTTGGAAACTCGGGCACTGCCCGAGGGCCCGGGGTCACTAGGGGGCCCCATGAGATGCCCCTAGTACCTTTTTCATAGGCTTTTTTGAGTTTGAGCAAGGACACAGGGGCCCCATGATCCCCTATGAGTTGTCAGTCCACCCCTGGCTACCAGCATGGCTTTGGAGCACAGAGTGAACATGCAAACTTGCTAAGATTGGGAATTGAAATGATGTCCCTAGCACTCTAAGGCTCCATGTACACTGCAGCTGTTAAACTCATGTTTAGGAGCTTTTCTGCGTTTTTTTCGTCAGCCCCTGAACTCTCCCTAATGTTTTCCTGTGTCCATGTACACTATGTCATTTACAGGCAGTTGAGTTTACAGTTGTTTTTTTTGAACGCACCAAACTTGTGTTCAGGAGTAGATTTTATCAGCATTTCAAACGGCAAACACTTTTAAACGAATGTAAATGCGGCTATCCGCGTTTATAAGCACTTGCGTTTGGAAATTTTTTTTAACTCTTCCATTTCCATATGCTGTCTGGAGCGTTTTTTCATCATGAAAAATGCATGCAAAGTGTTTTTCTGGTACTCAAATGGACCTGGTATACCATACTGTGAGGTTTCGCAAAAAAGAAAATATGTTAGACACTGCTGCAATAATTTCTGCACAGAAATGAGCTGGAACATATCCAAACACCACAAAAAAAAAAACAAAAAAAAAAAGCACAGCTAAACTCAACAAATACTGTTATCTCAGCTTCTGCTCTCTCTATTTCTCTCAAAATGTCTGAATTAGTAAATATTTTACTGTTTTTCAGTGCATTCTGGGCAAGGTCTCCTGAGGTTATCTCTAAAAAACACTTCTAAATGCAAACGCTCATAAACGCAGTATGCAAACTCAGCTAAGCAGACGTTTTTTAACGTACGTTTTCCAGCAGTCAGTTTCCATCATTCAGAAGTGTCCCTTGTACATGGAGCCTAAGGCTGCTTTCACGCTAATCCATCTGTCTTCCACTTTTGCCTTTAAAAAAGCAAAGGAAAAATGCATAACCAATAAATCCTATGGAACTCATCACACTGAGCAGTTGCAGGTCCACAGCGTTTTGTAAATTGTTGTTTGCTGCTTGTTTGGTGCAGTAAAAAAGCTGCACCAAAAAGTACCTTCCTATTGAAATGAATGGAAACCATATCAAAAGCACGGCAAAAGCACGGCAAAAACACACCCACAATTCTGTTTTTGGTGCAGTTTTTGAGTCCTTTTTTCACAAAATGCCCCGAAAAGGCAGCAAAAATGCAGCGAAAACATATATGCATTTTTACCACATTTTTGCAAGGGAACAGTGTTAAACACTTACTCTTCGGAGGATTTACCCCCCCCCCCCCTTCCTGACCAGGCCATTTTGTTTGTGATATGGCACTGTGTTATTTTAACTGATGATTGCGCTGTCATGCAATGCTGTACATAAATGAAATTTATGTAATTTCTTCCCCACAAAATAGAGATTTCTTTCAGTGTTATTTGATCACCTCTGCCTTTTTTATTTTTTTGCTCTATAAACAAAAAAAGACAATTTTGAAAAAAAAACAATATTTTTGACTTTTTGCTATAAAACATATCCAATAAAAATTAAAAAAAAATCAAATTTCTTCATAAATTTATGCCAAAATGTATTCTGCTACATGTCTTTGCAAAAAAAAATCCCAATACATGTAAATTAATTGGTTTACGTGAAAGTTGTAGGGTTCACCTTGTGGTGAACCCGCTGTATTTGCTCTTGCGAAGTCTTCTCTTGATTGTAGACTTTGACAATGATACGCCCACCTCTTGGAGAGTGTTATTCACTTGTATGGATGTTGTGAATGGGTTTTTCCTAACCATAGAGAGGATCCTGCAATCATCCACCACTGTTGTCTTCTGTGGACATCCATGCCTTTTTATGTTGCTGAGCTCACCAGTGCGTTCTTCTTTCCTCAGAATGTACCAAACTGTTTATCTGGCCACTCCTAATGTTGCTGCTATCTCTCTGATGGATTTGTTTAGTTTTTGAAGCCTTACAATGGTCTATTTCACTTGCATGGATAGCTCCTTCGAACGCATGATGTAGGTTCACAGCAATAGATTCCAAATGCAAATTCCACACTTAGAATCAACTCCAGAACTTTTACCTGCTTCATTGATGAAGAAATAATGGAGTAGCCCACACCTGGCCATGAAACAGCTTTTGATTCAATTGTCTAATTACTTTTGGTCTCTTGAAAAAGGGGGGATTGCTACTCTTAAGAGCTGTAATTTCTTAACCCTTCCTCCAATTTAGATGTGCATACCCTCAGATTAAATCTAAGTGTGTGCACCTTCAGCCCATATCCATTATATAACTATAGCTTGAATATGTTTTTGGTAAATACATGAAAACATCTAAAATTGTGCCTGTGTCCATATATATATACAGTTGTGTTCAAAATAATAGCAGTGTGTTGAAAAAAGTGAATAAAGCTCAAAATCCTTCTAATAGCTTTTATTTCCATACACACAAATGCATTGGGAACACTACACATTCTATTCCAAATCAAAACATGAGGAAAAATATATCAAATTTGTGTTGTTTCCCCCTAAAAAAATTGAAGAAAAGTGAATATTAGACTGTTCAAAAAAATAGCAGTGTTTGTATTCTTCTTTACAAACTCAAAATTCACTATATAAACTGAAAAATGTTTGAAGATTTTGCTTTCCTTTGAATCACTTAATGAATATTTAGTTGTAGTCGCACTGTTTCTGAGAACTGCTGTACATCTGTGTTGCATGGAGTCAACCAACTTCTGGCACCTGTGAACAGGTATTCCAGCCCAGGATGATTGGACTACATTCCACAGTTCTTCTCTATTTCTTGGTTTTGCCTCAGAAACTGCATTTTTGATGTCACCCCACAAGTTTTCTATTGGATTAAGATCCGGGGATTGGGCTGGCCACTTCATAACGTCAATCTTGTTGGTCTGGAACCAAGATGTTGCACGTTTCCTGGTGTGTTTGGGGTCGTTGTCTTGTTGGAACACCCATTTCAAGGGCATTTCCTCTTCAGCATAAGGCAGCATGACCTCTTCAAGTATTCTGATGTATTCAAACTGACCCATGATCCCTGGTATGCGATAGATAGGCCCAACACCGTAGTATGAGAAACATCCCCATATCATGATGCTTGCGCAACCATGCTTCACTGTCTTCACAGGGTACTGTGGCTTGAATTCAGTCTTTGGGGGTCATCTGACAAACTGTCTCCGGCCACTAGACCCAAAAAGAACAATCTTACTTTCATCAGTCCACAAAATGTTGCGTCATTTCTCTTTAGGTCAGTCAATGTGCTCTTTGGCAAATTGTAACCTCTTCAGCACATGTCTTTTTTTCAACAGTGGGACTTTGCGGGGGCTTCTTACAGATAGCTTGGCTTCACATAGGCGTCTTCTAATTGTAACAGTACTCACAGGGAACATTACACCTTCTTTGATCTTCCTGGAGCTGATTGTTGGCTGAGTCCTTGCCATTTTGGCTATTCTTCTATCCATTCGAATTGTAGTTTTTCACTTTCTTCCACGTCTTTCAGGTTTTGGTTGCCATTATAAAGCATTTGCGATCATTTTAGCTGAGCAGCCTATCATTTTCTGCACTCCTTTATATGTTTTCCCCTCTCCAATCAACTTTTTAATCAAGGTACGCTGTTCTTCCGAACAATATCTGGAACGACCCATTTTCCTCAGAATTTTAGAGAGAAATGCACTGTAACCAGCATGTACAACATTTGCTGCCTTCCTTCCTTAAATAAGGGCAATAATTGCCACCTGTTTTTCAAAGAATGAATGACCTCACTAATAGAACTCCACACTGCTATTATTTTGAACATGCCCCTTTCAATTAGTGATTCAATTACACAGAATCAACAGCATGCCATGACTGTTGGGTCTGTTGGATTTCTATTACTCTACTACACCTGCTAGTACATTATTTGCCATGTAGAAATATCATTTCTACCAAAAACAGTGATTGATCAGGTTAGTGATGTCTGACTGCTATTATTTTGAACACAACTGTATATATATATATATATATATATATATATATATATATATGGACCTAGCTGTATATATGCACGTGTAATTGCTATAGGGCGGAGGAAACGTAGCCTAAATTAGAATTGTTAACCACTAAGGAACTGCAATATTCTAATCTTTGGTCGAGAGTTAAAGGTTTTTGCAATGCTAAAAGTTAAATATATGTACTGGGTGTGTATACCTGATGTGCTCATTATGAAGAGTTTTCTATCCCTCTGTTAGTTTTTTACATTTTTATATTTTAAAGGATAAGTTCATCTTTTGGAAAAAAATTATAAATGCACATTTTTTTGCAGGTAAAAAATTGTGCATTTATTAATTTTGTCTGCAGGAGCCTGTAAAGCATTGCAGCAGCCATCAGAAGATTGCTGATGCCATGCAGGTCTCCTGCAGACCTGTCAGAATATCTGCTTGCTGTACGGGATGTACAAGCAAGCAGATATACTGATAGGAAGCTTCAATGAACTACCACTGCGCTCCATAGTGCCGTGATAGTTCTTTGAAAACTACAAGCCGACAGCCGCTAAACTATCGGGACTTGCAGTTCATTCATTCATGGAAGTCCATGAATGAATGATGTGGCCGTGTAGACGGAGCCCCCTCACGGCTGCACTGTTTTCAAATCTGACAGATAGTACAGGGAAACTACAGTATCTGTTACAGGGAGGGGGGACAGCGGGCGTGGCTGCAGCTATGGGAACATGTTACATGTTTCACCCTAAAAACAGGTGGAACATGTAACATGTTCCCAAAGGTGAACGTATCCTTTAAAGAATGGATCAGGAGGGGCAAGAGTGAGCAAATACACCCAAAGCTTCACGGTGAACAGAAACAGAGCTGGGAATCATGACAGAATGATCTTGCTAATAGAGTAGCCAAGGCTTTTAACCGCTTAAGGACCACCCTATAGTAGATATACTGCTACAGGGTGGCACCTGTGTGCAGAATCATGTAGATATTTGTCATTTTGCATTTCCAGGTAGGGGGCGCTCTCGAGCCGCATGTGCGCCTAACCCTCGCCTCCTTTTGCGGCCATGGATGTCAATCACTGGGTCCCGGCGGGTAATTACCCGTCGGCACCCGGTGTTTACTGAGCATCTCCGACGGGGAGGAAGATTGTTTTGTTTACAAACAATCTTCCTCCCTGTCAGCTTAATCACACTGGCCGGGATGGCTGTGCACAGTACAGCCATCCCGATCAGTGTGTTTACAGTGAAGAACACACCCTCCGCCCTCCTGTTTACTTACAGTTCTCTCTGTCAGAGCGTGCACACTGCTCTGGATGGCTGTGCACAGCACAGTCATCCAGACCAGTGTGCTTACAGTGAAGCACCGACACCTAGTAAAACACTCCCAGCACACAGTTAACCCTTTGATCGCTCCTCACATTAACCCCTTCTTGCCCAGTGCCATTAGTACAGTGTCAGTGATTTTTTTTTAGCACTGATCACTGTATTGGTGTCACTGGGGATATCAGTGACACCGAGTTAGTTCCCCCCCAGTGTCAGAATGTCTGCTGATGGCCGCCATTACTAGTAGAAAAAAAAAATCCCATTATCTATACTTCCATTTGTAAACGTTATAACTTTCACGTAAGCCAATTAATTTACACGTATTGGGATTTTTTTTTTAGCAAAGACATGTCGCAGAATACATTTTGGCCTAAAATTTTGACGAAATTTGATTTTTTAATTTTTTTTACTGGACATGTTTTATTGCAAAAAGTCCAAAATATTGTTTTTTTTTTTTTTCATAATTGTTGGTATTTTTTTGCTTATAGTGTAAAAAATAAAAAATGCACCGGCAATCAATACCACTGAAAGAAAGCTCAATTCGTAGGAAAAAAAGGACGTAAATTTCATTTGGGTGCAGCGTTGCATGACCACGCAATTGTCAGTTGAAGTAAAGCAGCGTCGTAATGCAAAAAATGGCTGGTCAGGAGGGGGGGGGGGGGGGGGTAAATCCTCAGGAGGGCAAGTAGTTAAGGAAGCAACAAATCCAGCTCTACAAATAACAGAAATATCATTTTTGGGTGTACCGATTCTATAAAGGATAGATTTGGGGTAAAGCTAGAGTTTAATTGCACCGTTTTGCTTTCAACACAGCAGAAATGTTTAAAATCTTGTTTACACATGTGGCGCCTCTGAAGAGCGATCTGTGTTCAGATGGCTCTTCAGCAGGCATTCAACATTATATCACCTCCTCATTACCTGTCTTCATATCAGTTCACTGCAACCATTTGCATTGCATGTGGTTGTAGGATGCTCCTTTCAGTTGAATAGGTCTTGTTTGGTGGGCAGCAGGTATACTCTTTGCTGTGGCAAAAGAAGATATACCTCCACTGCCTTTGCAGGTTAAGGGGGAGTGGTAAAAATGTTGCTCAGCTGCATAGTTTGAACCAGGGGCAGACTGACCATTCGAGCACTCGGGCACTGCCCGAGGGCCCGGGGTCAGTAGGGGGCCCCATGAAATGCCTCTGGTACCTTTTTTTTTAAAAGGCTTTTCTGGTGTGCTTTGAGTGTGGGCAAGGACACAGGGGCCCCATGATTCCCTATTGCCCGGGGGCCCCATGAGTTGTCAGTCCGCCCCTGGTTTGAACTCCTTACCCACCCCAACTGCAAGTGTTACCAAGCCTTTAGGGCCTGCGTCAACATTCAACAAGTCATTCAGAATTGATTGGCAGGTGCATTGACCCACAGTTAACACCAGCCCTTAAAACACTTGTCCCCCTGAGTATTTACCCCCCCCCCCTTCCTGACCAGGTCATTTTTTGCGTTATGGCGCTGCATTACTTTAACTGACAATTGCGCAGTCATGCAACGCTGCACCCAAATTAAATTTACGTCCTTTTTTCCCCACAAATTGAGCTTTCTTTTGGTGATATCTGATTGCCTGTGTGTTTTTTATTTTTTGTGCTATAAAAAAAGAAAGATCGACAATTTTGAGAAAAAAAAATATTTTTTACTTTTTGCTATTAAACATGTCCAGTGAAAAAATGTAAAAAATCAATATTTCGTCATAAACTTGGACCAATATCTATTCTGCTACATGTCTTTGCTAAAAAAAAAATCCCAAGACGTGTAAATTAATTGTTTTACGTGAATGTTATAGCATTTACAAATGGCGGTATAGATACTGGATTTTTATTTTCTACTATAACGACGGCGATCAGCGACTTATAGTGAGACTGCGGGACTGCGGCGGCCATTCTGACACCGGAGGGAACTGACTTGACACCAATACACTGATCAATGCTAAAAAAAAGCACTGACACTGTACTAATGGCACTGGGCAGGAAAGGGTTAACATAAGGGGCGATCAAAGGGTTAACTGTGTGCTGGGAGTGTTTTACTAGGAGGCGGTGTGTTGGTGCATCACTGTAAGCACACTGCTCTGGATGGCTGTGCTGAGCAGTGTGCACGCTCTGACACAGAGAGAACTGTTAGTAAACAAAACAGTCCTCCCCCCCGTTGGAGATGCTCGGTAATCACCAGGCTCCGGCAAGTAACCTCTTAAGGACGTAGGGGTAGGGTGCGGGCGGCTTGTGTGCGCCCCTTACCCGGAGATACAAAACCACGTATATATATATATATATATATATATATATATATATATATATATATATATGATTTTGTACACCCATGCCGCCCTGTAGCAGTATTTCTGCTATAGGGCAGTTGGGAAGCAGTTGAAGAATATGTAAATCCAACATTTCTTTAACCTGATATGTGCCTGCTGTACCATATACAGTTTTATGAAAAAATAACCTGATCACCTGGTGTTCCTGCCATTGCCAGTTATATGATGACACTGTGCTGCACTGGTGACAGTATGTAAAAACAAAAATAGTGAAACTAATTTTTTTAATTTTTTAATTTTCCGAAAAATTATGACAAAAAAATACAACTTCAAAAAACTCGCCATGCCTTTTATGAAGTACGTTGGACCGTTTACTTTGCAAAAAGGTGTCATTTGGGGGATATCTGTACTGTTCTGACATTCTTGGACCTCAAGAAATTAGATTGGCTGTCAGTATTCAGGATTGATCAATATTCAGATCTATACCATAGTTTGTGAACTCTATAACTTTCCTACAAACTAAAAAATACATCCTAATTTGGGTTATTTTCACCAAAGACATGTAGCAGAATACATCTCGGCCTAAATTTATGAAGAACAATTATTTATTTGCAAACTTTTATAACAGAAACAAAGAAAAATGTGTTTTTTTTTCAAAATTTTTGGTCTTTTTTTGTTAATTTAGCAAAAAATAAAAATCCCAGAGATGATTAAATACCACCAAAGGAAAGCTCTAGTTGTGTGAAGAAAATGATAAAATTTTAGTTTGGGTACAATGTTGTATGACCGCGCAATTGTCATTCAAAGTGTGAGAGCGCTGAAACCTGAAAACTGGCCTGGGCAGGAAGGTGTAAAACTGCCCGGTATTGAATTGGTTAATACTTCCATTGAAGTCATGCAGGGATAAATTTATTTGAATGTCCACAGGAAATGAGGTGCCCTTAGGTATTATATAAGGCATTTTTGATATGTAGAAAATCTAAACTAGAAATATACATTTGGAATCCCTATAATCAGAACAAATAAAATAATATGTTAAAGTAGTTTTTAACCCACAGTTTTTTTAGTTTAAACATTGAGCACAAAAAAAAAAAAATATTACCCAGCAAACTAATTCAATACAATTCTTACCATAGTGCTTGCAGTTTACAATTTTCAATGCTGCTTGCTCCTGATCTTTCACTGCTGCTTCCCTGAACTTAGAGTCTCAACGGGTAAGCATTACCAGCCAAAAGCATAGAGAAGGTAAAGGGGAGGAGGGAGAGGCAGAGACGTTCCTCGCATCCTTAGCTATGGGGTGGAGTGTTTCTATTAATAGACATAGTGTAGGGAGACACAAGTCTAGTCCCTGCATGCAAGGGTGGCTCCATCGGATACTGCTAGAGAAAGCAGCCACTCTGAAACAGAAAACCTGGGGCAGTGATCATGGCACTAGTGATTCAAGCAGCTGTTGAAAGTGCTTAACAAACTGAGGGTTTAATATCAAATTAAAGCAGAGCTCCACCCAAAAGGGGGAGTTCTGCTTTAAGGACTGCTCCCCATTAAGGATTGGCAACTTTGGGGGGTGGGTACCCGAATTAGACAGGTAACCTCTCCCACTTTCGGTCCGATCGCCTAGGCGATCGGAAACAGAAGGTGTCCTCCCTCCCTCCCTGTAGTCTTTTGGGACGCATGACAGGTCCCAGAAGACTAAGAAGACTACAGGACCGTTCATGAAGCACAAGCGCAGTGGATACCCGGCTGTGAAGCCACAAGCTATCATAGCCGGGTGCCCACACTGAAGATGCCGGCCTCCTGGAATCCAGGACGGCCAGTGAAACAGGCTGTGGGGGACACACCGCGGGACAGAGGGACAGGTAAGTGGCTGTTTTTTGTCAATCAGCAGCTACAGTTTTTGTAGCTGCTGACTTTTATTTTTTGACAGGTGATTGGAACTCTGCTTTAAGGTTCTTATCTGGGCAGCAAAACCTGCTGTTTGCAAAATTATGTAGGAGAAACTTAAAGTGATTCTAAAGGTTACATTTTTTTTTAAATAACAAACATACTATACTTACCTACTCTGTGCAGTGGTTTTGCAGAGCAGCCTGAATCCCCCTCTTTTTGGGTCCCCCACAGGCTCTCCTGGCCCCTCCGTCTTGTCGGGTGCCCCCACAGCAAGCAGCACGCTATGGGGCACCAGCACACAGCTTTGCCACTTCCCCTTCTCTCCTCATTGGCTGACTGGCGGTGATTGACAATGGCTCCTGCTTAATGTCTCAGCCAATGAGGAGGCAGAGACCCAGGACAGCCGAGACTGTTGTTCACATCACTGGATCACAATGGGGCTCAGGTAAGAATAGAATACATGAAGGTGAAAAACCGAGAGCCTTTACAACCACTTTAAGAACATTGTTTAGTTTACATATTTTTTTATATTTTACAGAAAACAAAAATATAACATTTTTAAGGTATCAAAAAATTATTCAGTAAAAACAAATCTGTACCCATAAAAATACTGACATTTTAGGGTCAATACATGAAGCATTTTAAATGTAATTAGCAGTTGAATGTAATCACTGCTACATCGGATTATTTGCTCTGGTTATTTAATGATTAAATACCAGTTGTTTTCCAAAGGTTAATCAGTGACAAATTGCAGCTGCTGGCCTTTGCCTGGAAAGCCTTGCTCATATCATAATGCAGGGATTTTGTGTAGAACAAGGGGGTCAAACTGGCGGCCCACCAGCTGTTGAAAACTACAAGTCCCATCATGCCTCTGCCTTTGGGAGTCATGCATGCTTGTAATTGTCAATCTTGCAATGCCTCATGGGACTCGTAGTTTGGCAACAGCTGGAGGGCCGCCAGTTTGACACCAGTGCTGTAGAATCATACTTGCCCACACTTCCAATGGTGGCAGAAAGTTTTCAGAGTTTAGCACTCTCTGTAAGAATATGTCTATGCTCTGCTGTAATTGAGAGAGC